TGATCCGCTATTTGTGACTCTAAATTCCTCACTAAGTTTTGCTTCTTTCTTTACCACAAAAGTACTGACATGAAATTGTTAGTAACAGCTCTTCTCTTAATATCTTTCTTATTAATTTGTGTAGGCTCTTTTTTTAGTGACTTTTAACTTTGATGTTGATAAATACGGCCACACTCTGGAGACTCTCAGTACTGGTGAATCTGTTTTCCTGGAATATCTTGTGTCGTTTTCAGAATTGCATGACTGTGTGACATCTGCTCCACATCTCACACGAGACTGACTGAGTAGGTACAACCGTGGCAGATGGCTGATGACTCACCTGACAACACTGAACACTGGTTTGCTTTCTGAGAAGCAACATCTTCATATTAATTTTCTAAGAGTCTTGCAAAGATGTGACCGGTCTGCCTGGTTTGATGGTAGATAATGTAAGTTACAGGAAATGCACAGGGATGCAACAGCAACATTTATTCTAGGACTGGGGGTAATATTTTAAAATTTAATTTATGGGCTACTATCAGATAAATCCAGAAAAGGAAATTAGGTTCACTGCTGTACTTTCTGAATTTTAGGTATCTAAATAGAAAAATTGAGATCCCTGATTCAGATGGAGATCTAGGCTACCTATGCAAAGGAGAAACAGAGTAATATCCACAGAAGCCATTCACTTGAGTGAGGAATAAGGAAACACCGGAGAAAAGGATATACCTTAAACTCTGTTCTCTCTGTGATCTGGCTGCCCTATTCCAGGCTGGGGGGAATACCATGAAGATTCACAGACCACAGATCTGGGTAGAAGGACATTCCCAGCTCTTCTAACATCCCATGATAGATAATGTATGCACCTGCTATATTGGAGACCTTTGTTCTGTTCCCTCCTCTGTTGACTGTCAGGTTGAAACAAGCACAGCCCAGTTAGCATGGGTAGGCTAAGTTCTGATCAGTTATATGGAAACAACTGCAGGAAGCCACAAGTTTACTTATAATGACATTACCTCGCAAAGTGAACTTTGTTCATTACTAGAGTTAAAGAACCTCGGTAGCAGTTTGCTATCCCCTCTCATTTTTACAAACTCCTTGGTTCCGCAAAACAAGATGACTGGAAGGAAATCCGAAGAGCCATTCCTAAACCACCTAATTTACAGCTCTATATACCAAGCCATCACATGCATATATTAATCTAAAGCTAAATATTGTTATATACATTGCAATAGCTTAAATCAATAAACATCAACTTGTTTGCACACACATGATTTCCATATTAAAAATGTAATCAGTTTTATAACAACCACAGTCAAATCCCTTAGGATCAAAAAAACCGTGCCAGTCTCACAAGCATCACATCAAAATGTGACCACCCAGCTTAAACATGCATCAGTCCCAGAGGCTAACACATCAAAATGCTTCAGTGGCCTGTTAAGTTTTTTGTTTGTTTTTAGAATCTTTCTGTAGCAGAGACATGTCATTCACATTTCCACTACCCTTATATCAACTCACAAAAGTTCCTAATGAGCCAAGTCTCATGGAGGCTCAACTGCTAACACCGCTAACATTACCAAAGACCTGTGCATTACTAACAGCTGTCTCCTAAGGAAACGGAACTCATACCTTCCATTTCTACATAAACTGCCCTAAGTTAAAGAGTATCCCAGGAAGAAAAGAAGGGAGGAGAGGATGGGTAGAGAGGAAAGAAGGAAGATGTTGTTATTGCTGATTCTGATTCATCCTGTATGGAATATATATTTATCAAATCTGACAGAGGAAGCCAGCAAGGGTGAGCAGGACTATAAAGCAGTAGTTACAAAGACGTATCGATTAGATTAAGGGCTTGACCATAGTTCTCTTTCAAAGGTGAATGCCATGTCCACGAGTATCTAGAGTCATGTTCTCCATCCCTCTAGTTGAAAGTATACTCCATTAAAAAATAATGGAAGTGAAAAGATCTTAAATACCTCTGTCCAGAATAGTCTACAACTCAGTAGCCAGAGCTATAGCCACAGAAATGGACTAGAGCATTCATGCTTCTGGTGAGAGGGTGGGGAAGCGAGCATGTCTGCCCTACATCCTGGGTAAGTATTCCCACTACCAGGCAATGCCTCAAAGGCAAACTGCTGCTCTTCTATCATTTTATGGGCACCAGCGGATACGTTCCTAAAACACCCTCTGGGGTGACTTCTGCTGTAGGGCTTTAGGCATTAGAAAGGCATTGCTGAGCAGCATTAAGACAAAAGCTTTAGTTGTGTTTAAATGATCAATACGGTTAGTTTCTCTGAACTGCTACAGTCTGATTGCTACCTGCTAAACATAAAGGAAATTCTTAAAACGGTACTGGTGTCACTTATGTTCCTTGACAGTAACTAAAAATCCTAGCATGCCCCAAACGAGCTAAAACTGCGTCTCCCTCCCCCAAATGGCACGTAATGATAGTTAATTCACACAGAAAAGATCTTTTGGGGCTGATACTTCTCTCATAATAACTTTATGTCATTCAAGTTCCACTAACAACTGTTGAGTTTACACCATGGTGCTAACGAGGTATATTAGATTCTTCAACTTCAAGCTATCCAGAGCTTACTCGGCTCATTTGGCACCCCTGTGTTGCTGACACATGCCAAACTTTAACAGATGGTCTTACAATACTGGCAGTTGTTTTGTACTATGCTAGTGGTGAGGGGAAATAGTCTACACAAATTGTCTGCAATTCTGGAAAATAAATGAAGTACAAATCCATATTAACCTCAAAAGCCAAACTATAAAAAGTCAGATTAATCATTTAATGATGTATGTGCTCTGAGTTAAATGCTCAGTTGCTGCAAAATGGCAATATTTCCCTGTAGTCAGGAAAACTATGCTTTGCTTCAGTTTCTAACAGGAATATCCAAAAAGACTGTATCATTAGAAAGGTATCGAAATGCATTAGGAATAAGCCTTGGGACCCTTCCTCATGTGATCAGCCCTGCCTATCAGCAAAAGTACCTCCATAAACTGGGTGTTTTCACAGAAACAGTGAAGCGACAGGGTGCAACTTAAGTTAACTGAATCTCTCTTTTTTCCCATGTCAAACAGAATTCAAGAAATAACACATCAGCTACTATGCACTGTGCAAATGTTGAAATCAACAGCAACAACCAAGTAAACAGCAATTTTACATTTTTCCTCATCCATTTAAAAAGAGCTGTATGTACCACAAGCTGAATTTTACACTCACTAATTTCACTGGCTGCAGTGGAACCTGCACTGTAGATAAAAGACCAGAATTGCTCCTCCCTGTTTCTGTGTGGCTAAATTTTTCTCTTTTATTGGGCCAAATTATGAGATATATCAATTGGGTTGAACTAGTAAACCATGTATGCAGAATAGTGCTTTTCAAAAGTAACAACAATTTCCTTCAACAGTGTATAACCTCCATGAAATGTATGTTCACACATATGTATTACAGTCTACTAGTGCAAATTTAGAACAGGCTTTTAGAAAATCACAAATGTTTTAGTTCAATGCTCACCTCTTCTATTTCCTTTAAAACATAGCTTGAAAGATATTTCAAACTGAGAGTTCAGAGGTTTGGTCATTCAGTTCCTGTCCATTTCAATATATTTAGTTAGATAATATGTCAGTCACCTTGCATGTTATTTTCACAATATGAGTCACCTTGAAATACAGTTCCCTTCGGTAGCCTCAAAGCCCTAGAACGAAGTAGGACCCTGAAAGCATTATCATAAGAGAGTCCTTCAAATGCAAGAGGTACCTTCCAATCTTCTTCTGGAACTGAATCAAAGCTGTATCTATTTTTTAAAAATTTTATTTTATCTGCCAAGGTTTCTTAAAGAACATGGTTGCTGGAACCGACTGATGTTATACATTTGTGACTTTGATACAAGTGAAAAGACCTTTATCAGTTTTATGTCTAATTTTATCAAACAACTCCTAAGTTTGAAGCTGTTAACAAAAAAAATATTAAAACAACTAAATTTCAGATGGGTTTCATGTTTTCTTTTCCTCCCTCAGGACTTTTGCCAGATTAAGATGACACAACATACTTCCAGAAAGTACTTATACAAATGCAAGATAATCTGCCTCTGAAAGCACAAATTATTTTTCATGATGAAAAAAGAAAAATCAAAATAAATTGTAAACAGACAGTCAAAATGTAGCAACATCAATCCCTCTGCTTCTCTTCCCAGGTGTAAACATTTTGTCAAACATTTCAAGCTATGATTCTCAATGTAGCACTTTTTGCTGTCAAATTCCCAGGAGAGAAGAGGAGTTGGCATACATATTTCTGTACTAATAATCCAAGCATGTCCTATTCTGGGAAGAGGTCCTCCCTTACAGATGCAGAATATGAGATACCATGATGGGAAAACTTAGTTGTCGTCCTTCCAGTTATCGAGAGCCTTCCCAGCTTCTACAACAACTGGTCATGGCCACCTCCTTCCTTGAGCCCATCCTCTGCAGAGCTCACCAAAGGTCAATGGGGGACACTTCCTGCTCTTGGAACATAGAGAAACCTTTCTGGCAAGAGGGACATAAAACGAAAGGAGTCTCTTGGGGAAAGAAAAGGCACAGGGAAGGGGATAGGAGCACAGGATTTATTTTATCCATTCTAACAATATCCACCAGTCTACCAGACATCTTCAAGGGAAGGGTCAAATAGTCTTGGACTAAACAATAATGGAATCATCTGCCTCCACCTCCAAGTAAAGGTCATTCTTAATGACTTGGAATGCTACATTTGGTAAAACAGTAGAGATTCAAGGGATTTATAAATCTAAAAGAGAAAAAAACCACAAACAAACAAGTGCAACATTTCCACAAAGAGGTTACTTCTGTTAGTGAACACCGATCTTTGTGCTGCAACTCGTCCCAAGCTGGGCATTACTCAATTTTGATATAACGAAATTCTATGGAATCAAAATGCAGTTTGTCTTTGTGATTTATCTGTTTGTCCTTCCTATCTAATATTTTCTGAAATAATATCCAAAATCTTTCTTCTTAAATACCTTTATAGTTTCAGTAGGTACTCCAGGCTCTGGAACTTTATCCAAGTAAGTAGTCAAGTCTTGATCCACGTGTTCAAACACTAATGTTAACTTGGTCTCTCTGTCTGTTCGTGAAACGGTGCACACATCAAACAATCTGAGAGTAGGAGAAGAAAAGAGGAGGTAAGTATACAGGAACCAGTACAGACATACATACCTTGCAGCTCATACACATCTATTTAAATTTCGTACAATATATAGAATGGAAAAATGACCTTTCCAAAGGTAGAACAAGCTTTGAGCTCCTGATTCATCAGATAACTACTGATACATCAATAATATCACGTCTCTTTCATGTGTGGACTTTGAAATAGGATTAAGAATTCCTAAGTGAAAAGAAAATATTTTTTGGACACAGCAACTAGAATTAATACAGAAAATTACTTCATATTTATCCACATTCTATGCTGCAGCACTTACAGTCATTTTAAAAAAAAATTGTGAGAAACATTTTTGAGAAAAAATATATAGGGTGTTTGCATGCACCTTCAGTTTCTTCCCACATAACTCCTATGTTCACCATTACATGGCTTTATAATTAAATCTCCCTTGGCAGAAACAGAAATTTTTTGCTGATTACTCTTGAAAGTTCCTGGACGCAAGGAATACCTTCAGCGTCAAGATACAGTCTGGAAAACAGCTCTGTGCACAAGATGCCACTGCTAAGAAAGATTTCTTCTCTCATCACTTTCTGTCATTCTTTCACTGAAATTTCTTTATCATTTCACCTTGTTGCACAACATCAAACTAATTTGCAAAGCTCTTCATATGTCACATTCCTATCTGATTACTCTATTTTCTATTGTTTTCTCTTTTTAATTAGGATTTCTCACATCTTCTCCACTTCATCTACTGTACCAGTTTTAATCACTGTTTCATCTTTTTCACAAATATCTACCCATCCTTCTATGCTTCACATCTGTACTCCTATCAGGGACTTTCACTATCCTTCCTCAAGTTGCACTTCTACAAAATCACAATAGAAAACCATCTTACAGGTGGAAGGATGATTGCTCTCTGCTCACATACTTTTCTAATGTGTTTATTCACTTAGCTTTAAATTGTACAGATCAGATTGCCTTTCTCTCTGAAGCGAGGCAGAAAATCAATTGCTACTTTTATTAGATGACAGTAGATTAAAAAAAGTATGAATACAGTTATTGAGAAAAAAGTCTATTCAGTTAAACTGAAGAACCTATCGATAACAAACCCAAGTAGTGTTGATACTACTGCTTATTTTGATCAACATAATAGCAGTTACGTTGTTTTATTACATGTATCATCCATTCTCTTACTTTGAATAACTGCTTCCTTACTTTGTGCAAAGTGCAGGATTTCTGATAACATTATCAAGTAATGCTTTTATTCTTTGTCCTAGGACTAAAAGCTTTATATGCGGGATCTGTAGAAAACAGATCACGCACAAAGCCTTGGGGGTCACTGCTTTTCAATGAGGACATCCGACAAACAGATTAGAAAAACACTTTGTACTGAGTTTTTACTTCTTACCTTAAATGTCAAAATATTTCACAAGGGAAGGGAAAATAAGAATTGGCACAACTATGTGTGAAGACTGTAATCCAGGTTTAAGAGAGCAGTATGTTTCACATGAGATGATATAAATTTAACATGTTAAGGCCATGGTCCCACTTTAACAGCATTTCCTAAATAATATTTGGTCAGACATTTAAAAATTGTTTATTAGCCACCATGTTTTGAAAATGGATGCATGTACATTTCTTTTAGCTTCAAGAAGCTTTTCAGTGAGTAATAATTTGGGAAGCAGAGTTACAGAATATGGAGAGATTGTCACCCTATCTCTACTAGAAGACTAATCTGCACTTAATCTGCAATCATCATATGAACAAATATTAAATTATTATGATAACACAGAGACTGTAACAGCAAATGTCTCAGCACATTTCTCATAAAGACAAATGCTCTTCGCTTTATGATTCCCTTAATGGGGCGTACACGGAAGATAGATGTCCTGTACACAGTAAATCAGTTTTGTGAAACATCACAAACCTTCCTGAAAAGTGAAATGTGCTGGTATCTGGCTGGAGGTTAATAATCTGCAATATATTTATATAAATCAATGTGGAATGTAGCCGAACTGCCTATAACCCCAACACATGCAAATAGAGAGGAGCCAGACAGGTCTGAACATCTGAACATAAACACTGGAAAATATTTCCAACTGTATGATTCCTTCGTGTTGACCTACATTTACCTAAAAGTGTTCTAAAGCACCTTTTTTTGCCAGGCATTTAATACATTGCCAAATTATCTTTTCAACTATAGCAGAATTATAATTCAAGAAAAAAAGGAAAAAAAGATTTCACTGTATAGAATACGGAAGCAACTTGTAATTCCCAACTCACTGCGGAGGGAAATGTTGATTCTCTGTTTAATTCTGTATGTGGCTTATTTTGATTCTGTCATTTTCTGGCACAGCAAAATAAGGAACTCAGAGGAGCACAGTTCTAGTCACCCATTACCGAGTAATATTACCACTGGGTAATAATATTATCTTGCCTTTTTATACATCCTTTATGTGAAACTCTAAATGCCTTACTATTAATAATAAAAACTCCGGATCCTGCACCAGGCTGGGTGGAATTACATTGTCTCTACCCACAGAAAATACAGCTGCTGCCTTAGAAAGATACTAATTTAAAGCACAGTTTATATGAATCTACAATATTACAAAAAGACAACATCTGGCATTGCCTGTGCTAATCATTCTGGAAATAGCTTGAAGAAAGACACAGCCTCTTTATTTAGTAGTTTCTATAGGGATAAAACTACTTTTTATAAATTATATTCTTTTACATCCACTGTGAGAAAATCATCCATAAAGTTGTCTCCTGTAGCTAGGAACATCTCTGCTGTATGCAGTGCACATCTCTCAAGCCATGTTGTCATGATTTTCTGTATGTGACAGGTTAGTTTTGTGTGTGATTGCCCCTCTGGAACAGGCAACAGCAAAAGGCCTTTTATTTAAAGAGTTACTATGTGGACACTGTCCTAAGAGAAGTAAATGTACCTCAATTAATACAGGATTTCCATAGTGAATATTTTGTAAACATAAGCCTTGCCCTTCTATTGTACTTACAAAAGAAACATTTGAATTATTTGATTAAAGTAAGATTCACTATGGGAAATCCTGCAAGTATTTAACAAGATGTTTGGCTGGGAGTCCTACATGGCCTCATGTGCCGATCTAAACTGGAATATTGTTGAACAGATACTTATGGAGTACCTGTGTTTTAATGCAGATATTTTTTCAAGTTAATTGTACTGAAGTAAAAAAGCTTATCAGCTACAAATCTGTGTCTCTGTTTTATTTTATGTATCTAGTGCCTAGTGGATCTTACTATAACCTCGCAGAATACCTGCCTTCACACAAAAATGCTTTGGTTTTTTGAATACAGAATACTAGATGTTGTGTCTTGAAGTCTCCATAGCTTCTTACAACATGTAATCTGACAAATGCAACCTCAGTTCATTTTACAATATAAAGTCAGAATGCTTAATGTTTTTATAAGAAAAGACACAGTTATGCCAATTCCTTTGAAAACTGTTGCATCTTCTGACCGGTACTAATTTGGTAACTGCTTCTACAAAGTCCTTAAACGTTACTGGACTTGCTTTTGAGATGCTCTGAGAACTGCTATAAAATTAGCCACTTTCAAGTGGAATAAACATATTTTTTCCTAAGCAAACTGAGATAACAGCAATGGAGATCAAACCCATCAGCCCAAGCCACCTGCAAGAAACACCAAAAACCAGATCTGACTATAAGACCTGAAAAACTGTAGGACATCAGTTCTCTCGGCTATTGTCAAACAGATGACTAAGTACACCTGGAAAATTAGCCAGATCATAGTCAAAGGGAAGACCAAAGAATTAGATACTTGCTGCCAATGCATCCAAAGGCTTATTGTTATTTTTATTGCAGTAGGACTAATCCAACATGAACGCATATCTATCCCTTTACTTCGCCGGTCACTCACAGCACTGAACAAAAACACAGTCCTTGCTCTCTAAAGTTTTTCAATAACATGGATTTACTTTACTTTTCTTGGGAACAGTGTCTTCATAGGAAGGTTTACTTCATAGCTTATGCATGACAGAGAAAGAGAAGTGGAGCCATTGATTTATGAGTAGGAGAAATGTTTAAGAACACTGTGGTGTGGTAAGTAGTGGCATAGTAATATGCTACAGTTTTAAGGTTTTATAAGTCTGGACGAAGACTCAGATGAAAAGAGTTTGGTGGTCTCAACCTAACTCTGAAAGGTATTTATCCACATGACAGAAAACCAGCAGAGGCTTTATGAATGATTGACAGTTTACGCAAACATCACAAGATTGAGATACCAAGACTATGACAGGTCATGATTGAGGTTTATTGACAAATACATGGGTGGGAGCCTGAATAGCTTCTGTTTTCACTGTCTTTGGTTCAGGTTAATCCTGTGAGTCCTTAATTTTCAAGGGCACAGAAAATTTTAGCCTTTCGTACCTAAAAGCATTGAAGAATGACAGTAAGGCATCCTTTCAGTTCAAATTTCAGCAGCAGCCTTAGACACTTCTGTCCTCTGGAAGCCACTCAACAGGAAGCCACTCAACAGCAAGCCCTTCGTTCACCCCAAATTCTTAAACTATGTACTCCTTGAAAAAAACAGCTTTCCCCATACTTTTAGAATTAGCTACTGTGTCCTTTCTTGCTTTTGAAGAGGAAGAAGACTCTGCTAACAGAAACCAGTCTCTACTTGGAATCACATATACCAGTGTATTGTAACAAAGTGATCGTATTTCAGATGAAGGAGACAATAGTTGGGCAAGTGGAGTGGAACATGTGCGTTACGAGAACCATGTCCCATGTACCAAAACAGGAAATAGAGCTTCACACTCTGAAACGTATGACAGAGCTCTCTCCCTTTGTTCAGGACATGCTGCTTTGTCTCATATTAATCAGCAATCACCTACTCTTCCATGCCTCTGAAAGCTGGTATTTCGGACGTAGATTTGTTTTGCTCGAAGGAGCTTAATTGAACTACTTTTAGATAAAAGAAGAGCACGTGCAGATGA